GGAAGTGTTGGAAGCGTTGGCGTCGATGGCAGTCGTGTTGGCGATGAGGTCTGCGTTCACCGAAGTGGTGGTCGGAGTGGAGGAAGTGGTGCTCATAGTGTGTGTCTTGTCATTCGTGTGGTATAGAGAGGTAAGTGTGGATCAGATGATGTGATAATTGGTGTATTTGTGGCCAAAAAATGGCGTTTTTTAGTGAATAAACGAAAACAAAACACTTTTCTCTCGAAAAACACTTCAAAAGCCTTTAAAAACACTTTTCAAACACTAGTCATACACTCAACCACTCATTCACTCCAACAGTCGTACACTCATTGCAAACACTATTCAAACTGAACACTCGATTCCGAGTTTCATTTAATCTGTATTTCCTTTACATTACTTTTACTGTATTTGAAACCAGAGTCGTCTGTCCGGTAAGTATATAATGAGTAGTTGATGAAAGTTTGGGTCCCATAGCACCTCATTTGGCCCACATATGGTCACAAAACCATTTCGGGAAAATTTAATTCCCGGTTTTGGGGCACTTCGGGTAATCCAGGAAACCCGCCCGATATATATTGCTGTTTCACATCCAGCTATCTATTCCCATCCCCGAGATATTTAAATTGAGCAGGGTTTTAGTTTTTGTCGTTTTGCGGACTATTTTCAGTATGACATTTTCTATAATATTCAATTCATTATTCATACATTCATATCATATCTACTTTTTGATGAGCCATTCAAATGTGTGGTCAAAAAGTTTGTACTCCAAATTTACCTTGACCCTCTAACCATTTGTTATATTTATATTTATTTATTTATATACTTACTGCTATTTTAAATTACTGGTAAGTATTTTAAATGAATTTATACCAAGTTTAATATATGTGATTAGTTTAAACTATTAAGTATTAAGCATGCACTTTTTGATACTTTTGCAAATGCTTTTATTTATTAGTTAACTCTCAAACTCAATACAATTAAAGAGGTAAAAGTTATAACAATGGTTAAGGGATTGGTTTATATACCATTAGACAGACAAACGTTTGTTACGTATATTTCTAAGAATAGATACACGTGTGAGAACAAAGGTGCATGTTGCAATTGTTATCAACACTTAATATATTTAACCTGGCTTCAAATTACACATATTTCTATTTTAATTAAT